CGATAGATTTCCAAAAATGACTTGCATATGCCGAGTTTCAAGCAGCGAGAAATTAACCTATCATATTTCTACCGTAGCCTGAAGCATGGCAATGTGTTGAAAGTTTTGCTTCGCAAAGCTAAACCTTTTCCCCCACATAATCTGCCTCAATAAGTTGCATCAATGTGGCCAAACTCCTTTGTAATTTTGGAAGACAAAGAATGTGTCGAGTCTTCTTATGAAAGGATTCTGATGATTTGGAACGAGTCGAGAAATCCAATGAATATTTTCAGGACTCCGTTAGAGGTTGTCGCGCTACTCAACCTCGAACTTGAAAACTATAGTAAGAAATTGGTGCAGAAACCTGCGCTTTTGGTTTTGAATAAAACTGACATCGTTTCTGATGAAAAGGTTAGTTGCTCTACTATTTGGATCTAATAGTCATCCACTTTACAAGATTCAGGAACCTTTGCGCTTGGCTGAAATGTTTCGCAAACTCGATTGGCCCCTCCAGCTGCCAGAAGAGATGCGTCCTCGCAATCCTCTTCAGTTCGACTATGTCATCCCCGCTTCTGCCAAACTAGGAGACATTGGAGATTTGAAGCGAGCTCTTTTGCGAACATACAGAAATGTTCGCCCCAGTATTGTGCCTATGGATGTATTAGAAGATGATGAGAAGAGTTTGTTATAGCATAAAATATTTATTGTGCACCGTCTGCTGCGCAAGGGGTTGAGTTGGACTTTTCCGGGACATAATCTGGGAAAAGTACGAATACTGGTGGATTGTCTTCACATTCTTCAAGCCATTCACTATATCGTACTCGTCCGATTGTTGGTGGGAATCTGAAAGCCGGAGGTGTAATGTGTTCCGAGGACAGAATTTTTAGATTACGATGCAGTTATTGCTTTTTCACGATATATTGGCTCAGGCATACGAGGTCACATATAGTTGCTTTCATAATGTTTACAGATCAGGTTTGTCTGATCCCAAGCACCATTAAAGATGTGTCAGTAAGGCAATTTGTAGTATTACAACAGTTGATTCAAAGCCTAGATTTATGTCACCGCTCATATCACTAAAAAGTGTCCTTACAAGGAAAGGAATACTATGTCGAAATGGAGTTTTCTGTTTCCGGTATTTGCAAAGCTCTTCTGGGAGGAGAGATTATGGGCATCCGTTGAGGCAAAAATTTAAGGGTTTGGCTAAGAAGTGTTGAGATCTTTTGGCGCTTAGGAGGAGTAATGACTAGCATAAATATCAGACTAATGGTATAAACTATATAAAGCGCCCCGGTAATAATCATGGCCTCATTTGAGCTCACAGACTAAAGTTTTGAAAGATTTTATTGTAGTTGCGCGTTGACATTTTTGCATCAACAAAATCTCATAGCTCCTCTACCAGAAGCGCTCTGCAGATATCGAAGATTTGAAATCAGCGCTTCATCCTCTTAAAGGCAACATACATTTCAAGTCGAAACGCCATTTCGACCAAGTATCCTTTCTTGGTTAGTAACGAGAATTTGTTGATGATGCCGAAGGAATGATCCCGGGCTCGCACAAGGTGGCAACTAGGAACTTTGAAAAAAGGAGTCCTTTTTGACTACGCAGCGAAGAATTACAATGGTTCTTTTGAGATGCTTTAGAAGAAAACAATTTTTGTGGCGAACGATGCCTGGACGAAAACGAGGAAAGTAGGGGAGAAGGAAGAAGACAGAGAGGGAGAGAAATGGAGGTGCCCGTAACATCCGCAGCTGTAGCAAAGCGGAGAGGAGGTTTGGGACCTCTTGGGTACAGTACTTACATCTTATGTTAAGAACCAAACTTACTTTCAAGAAAAAAATCAGAATTTACGCGAGGAAGATGGCAAAGATGACTTTAGTCTTCGTTCGATGAATGAAAATTTAATTACGTATTTAGTTTACTAACCGTACACTTTTCGTCAACATAAATTCAGCCAGTTTCAGTCCCTTTTCTGATATCCTCAAATATGGACTTGGACCCCCAGTCAATCGGCCTTCCTAGAGCATATTATGAAGCGACCAAAAGTTGATAAAAGAGGGACAAATAGACATTTTAGGCACTTACACTATCAAACTTTGCTGTTTTGCCAGTTATCATGCGATATAGAAGTAGCCCAACATGAAAAACATCTTCTACCTTAGCTTTTACGCTAAAAAGATTTTTTTTT